AGGTCCTCTTTTCTGATCCAGACTAGATCATTAATACTATGCTCATGACTCTCCAAACCAGTGGTGGCTACCTGGATCCCAAACAATCCTCTAAGTACCCTGAGGAATGGCTTCCTTCTCTTGGCTCCCAGGTCTGGGAGCAAGTGCAGGACACTGCTCGGTGCAGTTCCTTCTCACAGTCTCCTTATTGCTTCCCAAGTCAGACTCAGGGTTTGGCAGGGTCAAGGAGCTCCTTTGTGTCCTGGATTTCCCAGCTCCCCTGTGGGGATGTATATCTCAGAGACACTCACTCCCCCTCTCATTTACTGAGGATTCACTCACCACTGCTTTCCACCAGACGTGTGTTGCTACCTAGCTTCTTTTTTCCCCAGTATCCAAAGTTTTCTTTCATTTTTATGTTGAACTCTTGCATTTCTTCTTGTATAAATAAAAGTTCACCCCACACTTATTTTGATAGTTCCAAGTGGATGAGTTGTACCAGGAAAGCCCCTATTCCACCATCTTGGAAAAAAATATCATCTTAGATATAGAAAATCCTAAAGATCCCACCCAAAACTGTTAGAACTAATAAACAAATGCAGTTAATTTTGGTAGTAGAAGTGCTTTTCTCTCAGTTCAACACACAAAAATTAGTAATGTTTCCATGCATCAATAGCAAACTGTCTGAGAGAAAAATCAAGAAAGTAATCCCATTTACAATAGCTGTTAAAAAAAAACCCCATAGAAATAAATTAAACTAAGGAGGTGAAAGGTATCTACAATAAAGCTCTAAAGCACTGATGAGAGAAATTAAAGGGATACAAGTAAGTTAAAAGATATTTCATGCTAATAGATTCTGAGAATTAATATTATTTCATCGTACGCCAAGCAATTTATAGATATAATGCAATTTCTATTAAAATTCCAATGTCATTTTTCATAAATACACACACAAAAAAACTTAAAATTCTTATAGAGTGAACTGCAAAATACCCAGAATAACCAAAGAAATCTTAAGCCAAAGAACAATACTGAAGGTTTCACACTATCTGATTTCAAAATACACTATTAAGCTATAATACCCAGTGAAAATAGTATCGTCATAAAACACATAAACCAGTAGAACAAAGTAGAGGTTCAGAAATAGATTAAGGAATTTATAGCCAACTGACTTTTGAAAAAGGAATCAAGAGCACATAATGAGTAAAGGTCAGGCTCTTCAATAAATGATGCTGGGAAAACTAGACATCTACATGAAAAAGAGTGAAATTAGACCCCTATCACTCACCACGTACAAAAGTCAACTATAATAGAATTAATGGGATAAGCCCCAAACTATGATCCTACTAAAAGAAAACATAGGAAAAATATTAAATGACATTGCTCTGGGCAAGAATGGTTTTAGGAAAGCTTTCAAAAGGAAGTGCGACAAAAGCAAGACTTAACAAATGGGACTACATCAAACTAAAAGGTTTCCGTACAGTAAAGGAATCAGTCAACAGAGTGAAGAAATGATCTACAGAATGGGAGAAATATTTGCATATTATACATATCACAAGAGATTAATATCCAAAATTTCTAAGAAACTCAATAGCAAAAAACAAATGATCCACAAAAAATGGGCAAAAGACTCAAATAGATACTTCCTAAAAAGAAAAAAAAAAACAACACAGATATATAAAAATGCTGTCTAAGGGAAATTCAAATCAATGACCAATCAATCATTTCCCTGACTGTTATCAGGGAAATGCAATCAATTTGTGGTTCCCCCCAAATTAAACAGAATTACTATATTATCCAGCAATCCAACTACTGAATATATATCCAAAGTAAAAAAAAAAAAGTTTAGTATGTCAAAGAAACATCTACACCCCCATGTTTATTGCAGCACTATTCACAATAGCCAAGATACGAAATCAACCTGAATGCCCGTCAATAGATGAATAAAGAAAACTTAATACATATAGACATATCAAAATTTTCCCTCCCTTTTCAGAAGGAAAAAATACCAAATACTTCTACTTAGATGAGGTATCTAAAATGGTCAAACTCAGAGAAAAAAACAGTAGAGTGATGGTTGTCAGAGACTGTGGTAGGAGTGGAAGAGATGGAGTAAGGAGCTATTGTTCAATAAGTGTAAAGTTTCAGTTTTATAACGTAAGTAATTTTTAGACATATGCTGTACAATGTAGTACCTATAATTAACAATACTGTATTGTACACTTAAACATTGTTAAGAGGGCATGTCTCATAATAAGTGCTCTTTCCATAATTAAAGGGAAATCAGAAAACATGATCATTACTTGAATAATGGACATTGGAGATAATAATTTTAGATATGTAGTTCAACTGAACTCTCTGAGGATGGAATATTTTTATGTTTTCTTTAACTCTTTTTATTTTTAATGATCAATCGTTGTGTATAATTATAGAACACCTGTGATTTTTGATACAGGCATACAATGTGAATTAATCAAACCAGGGAAATTTTTTTAATCACCTCAGGTTATCATTTTTTGGTGTTCAGAAAATTACAATTCCATTATTTTAATTATTTTAAGGTGTACCCTAATTTATTGTTGATTATAGTCACTGTGATGTGCTATCCAATATTGTCCATTCTATCTAACTAAATTTTTGCTCCATTAACTATACCTACTTTATTTCTTCTACCACTACTACCCTTCTCAGCCTCTGGTAAACATTATTCTACTTTCTGTCTCCATGAGATCAATTGTTTTTAATATTTAGCTCCCTCGTATGACTGAGAACATGTGAGATTTGTCTTGTTGTGCTTGGCTTGTTTTAGTTAACATAATATTCTCCAGTTCCATCCATGTTGTTGCAAATGGCAGAATTTCATTCTTTCTTGTGGTTATATAATATTCCATTGTGTAGAGGCTGAGGCAAGAAGTTTTATTTGAGATTGTAAAAAGCTATGATCAAACCACAGCAAACCAGCCTAGGCAATAGAGCAAAACTCTCCCTGAAACAAAAGAAAAAGGAAAAAGAAAGAAAATAAAAAAATTCATTGTGTATATATATCACAATTTCGTTATTTGTTAATCCACAAATGAACGCTTAGTTATATTCTACATCATGGTTATCTATTGTGAGTGGTGCTGCAGTAAAAATGGGAGTGCTGACACCTTTTCATGTACTGACTTCTCCCTCTTCGGATATATAGCCGGCAGTGAGGTTTCTGGGTTATATGGCAGGTTTTTGAAAGAATTTCCATAGAGTTCTCCATAGTGATTGCACTAATTTACATTTTCACCAACAGTTATGAGGATTCCCCTTTCTCTACAATGCAACATTTAAGATGATCCATAAAGAACAATGCAGGCAAAGAGGCTGAGATGGACAGCGTCTTGCAGTGTGAATGTGCTTCTTATGTTCAAGAAATAAACAAAGATTAATGATGCCAGGCCATATAAAGCAAGAAGAACATTGGTAGAAAATGATGAGAGAATTGACAGTCGAGAGGCCATGCGCCTCTTGTAGGCCATAGTTAGGAGACTCAGTTCAAGTACAATGAGAATCTAAATTTGGGGAATGAAACCAAGAGTTTAATTTTGTACATGTTTTCTTTTTTATTATTAAACCATAGTTGTGCACATTAATGCAATTACGGGGTACAATGTGCTGGTTTTATATACCACTTGAAATATTTTCATCATACTGGTTCACATAGCCTTCATGTCCATGTTATTTTTGAGATGTCAATGAACAATTCAATAGAACTATAAGAACAAAAGCAACCCAGGATGGAGCACTGAACAGCCACATTCACAGTGTGAGAGTAGATTAAAAGCCAACAGTGAAAACCCCAAGAATATATCCAGAGAGGATGGAGACAAACATGGTGAGCCAGGGATGTCTATAGCAGCTTTATGCGTTATTGCAAAACCTGGTTGCAACCAAAAAAATCCTTTTTGTAGGTCATTGGATAAAGTGCAATACATGCAGACATTACAATATTACTCAGTGCTAAAAAGAGATGAGCTGTCAAGCCATGGAAAACATGGAGGAAAAAAATGCATATTACTAAATGGAAAAAGCCAATATGCACAGGCTACATGCTATTTGATTTCAAAGGTATGACATTCTGGAAAAGCCAAAACCATAGAGACAGAAAAAGATCAGTAGTTATCATATAAATGTGTATGTGTATGTGTGTGTATACTATTATTTTTATTTCATCTTCACGGAAATTAGAGATTTGAAAAGTTACATGATATTCTATATTCACACAATGTATGAAGGGAGAAGAAGGAATGAATGGCTGAGCACAGAAGATTTTTAGTGCAGAGAAACTACTCTCTAGGATACTATCATGACAGATACACATCATTATACATTTGTCCAAACCTATAGAATTTACAAGACCAAAAGTGAACTCTAATGTAAACTCTGATCTTGGGGTGACAGTGATATATTATTGTAGGTTCACCGGTTATAGCAAATCTACCACTCTACTGGAAGATACTGACAGTGGGTAGGCTTTGCGTATGTGGGGGTAGGAAGTAGATATGAAATTTCTGTACCTTCCTCTCAATTTTCCTGTGAACCTAAAACTGCTCTAAAAATAGTCTATTCAAAAATAAAAATAAATGTATAATACCAAATTAATGGCTTAAATTATGTTAATTAAAAACTAGTCACATTTCATTTACCTCTGACAGATTTCTCTGATGTCTATGTGCCCCAAAGGGTTACGGACATGTACTTTTGTTCATGGGCTTTTGTGTCCTCCTGTTTATTAAATGAAACATCATTCCTAAGGTTTGACAAGCAAGTCCAAAAACTTCTGACATTTCCCTTTAGCCTTCTTCATTCAGGCATATATTTCTGAGAATATTTTTGTACTAGACAATGGAGCTCTGAAGAGGTAAGAATATCACCTTAGGAATTTAGATGCTTTGTGTGTTTAATATAATTCATTGCATGAAGAATGTCTGAGATGAATGAAGGAAGGTTTGAGATGCATTGTAGTGCATACTGCAATGTTCAAATCTCAATTATAGAGAAAATTTTGCCCTCTTAACTACCTTCTTGAATGCACACTTGACTTCTTTGTTCCTCAAGCTGTAGACCACAGGGTTCAGCATGGGGATGACCATAGCATAGAACACAGATGCCAATTTATCTGTGTCCATGGAGTGACTGGAGCTGGGCTGTAAGTACATGAAGATGACTGCCCCATAGAAGATGTAGACTGTAGTGAGGTGAGAAGCACAGGTGGACAAGGCCTTCTGGTATCCCTGAGCTGAGTGCATCTTTAAGATGGTGACAAATATGAACATGTAGGAGATTAAAATAACCAGAAGAGCAAAGAAGACATTAAAGCTTGACATGAAAACCAGAATCATTTCACTAATGTAATTATCAGAGCAGGATAGAGCCATGATTGCTGGAACATCACAGAAAAAGTGATGGACTACATTGACCTCATAGAAAGAGAGACTGAATGTGTCTCCAATGTGGATGGAGGCATTCAGGAAACCACAGATGTAGGAGCCTATGGCCAGATGAGCACACACCCTTGTTGTCATGGTCGTGGTATAATGCAGAGGTTTGCACACTGCTGCATAGCGGTCATAGGCCATTGATGCCAACAGGTAATTTTCTACAGTGGCAAAAGCTGCAAAAAAGAACATTTGAGCAGCACATGCATTGTAGGAGGTGACCTTGTCTCCTGTAAAGAGCCCAGCGATGACACTGGGAGTGACAGCTGAGGAGTATCCCAAGTCCACTAGCGACAGGTTACTGAGGAAAAAATACATGGGAGTGTGGAGACGAGAGTCCAACAGGATCAACACCATCATCCCCAGGTTCCCGAGCAGAGTGGCGAGATAAATGAGAGTGAATAGCACAAAGAGGGGGGCCTGAATTTCTGGGGCATTGGTTAGTCCTAGGAGAATGAACTGTGTCACTTCCGTACAATTCTCCATCAATGTTATTTGTGAATGAGAAGACATCCTTTAGCAACAAGAAACAAAGGATTAAAGTGATAAATAAAAAAAGAGATTTAGAAATCTATACATATCAAGTGTGTTATTTAACTACAGCAAAAATTTGTACTTTATAATTCTGTAGATCTAAAACATAAGGCTGAAAATACATTTAGTGCATTAATAATCTAGAGTTACATTCTGTTGAATTTAAAGGATCTTTATGGATCATCTCCCAATTACAAATTTTATAAATTGATACATAAAACATTTACTAATGTCCAAGATGACCTATCTGGCATGGATCTATTAATTCAGTTTTCCTTGGTCTAGTAAAAGCTTATTCTTTTGTGTTATTCAAGTACCAAAAACTTCTCTAGAGAAGTTTTCATGTATATTTAATGATTTTAACTGAGGTTGGTTAGTTATTACAATTATTTAAATTATGAGACACATAAGATTAATTTATTTGTATTTACACAAGTATTAATTGTCAAGCCAATCTTTGGGCCCAGGAAAAAGATTTTTCACATCCAATGGTCTTAATAGAATATAAATCAAACTGAATTATAACCAATTTACAATTATTCCCTGTCATTAGTGGTACAGTCTATGACAGAGGTTTCACAGTGAAGTAGCTGAGAGATCTATGCACACAAGAAGTCTTAGGATAACTGAGGGAATAGGGGCATGTACAACTCAGCAAAGGAAATTCTAAGAGGAAGATACAACATTAAGAATAGAGCTTGAGATCTGAGAAAATGTGTATATCACCCCCACACACCTCCCACTTACTACCTAGGCAGTCTTGGTCCTGACTTACTATCCCTGAATGTCATTTATTCTATCTGAAAATTGAAAATATTAATGATATTAGTGAGACTTATCTCAGGGTATTATTTTGAGAATTATTTTTAAAACCAGGAATAAACCCTGATGAGTGCTAATTGTAGTAGTATTTGGGGGAGAAAGTGATGGTCTCCATGTTAGTTTGATAAAGGGGGACGGCATCACACAGGGCTTCACATGTGGATAAATTCTGAAGTTTTATAGTTTTGTTCTTCAGTTTGTCTTTTGTCACATTCTACAGCCATTGAGATTTTCCTGTGCCCACCAGTAATTCTCACTATGTCTTTTCCACTCATATGACTCCAGCTATTCCACATTCTTTTGTTTAATTTCTTCCTTGAAATTTAAATTTTAGCTTGACTTGAGTCTTCTTTTCTTAAACTCATTCTTTTTCTTATCATTGTCATCCCTTAGGTGAGTACAGATATTTAGAATTTCGAATGCATCATTTGAGGCAGGGCATGGTGGCTCATGCCTGTAATCATAGGAGGACAAGGTGGGTGGATCACCTGAGCTCAGGAGTTTGAGACCAGCCTGAGCAAGAGCAAGACTAAAAATAGCTGGGTGTTGTGGCAGGTGCCTGTAGCCCCAGCTATTTGGAGGCTGCAGCAAAAGAATCACTTGAACCCGAGAGTCTGAGGTTGCTGTGAGCTATGACACATGGCACTCTACCCAGAGTGACAAAATGAGACTCTGCCTAAATAAATAAATAAATGAAAATAAAATGCATCGTTTGGGTCACCTTCAGTCTGCAGATTGGTTTCAGAGGTGAGCTCTATGCTGTAAAATTATATGAATCGGTTCTTGTGTAGGAACAGGGTATTAAATTAAAAAGGGTGTTTATGTTCTGCTAACTACTATATTGCCTATCATCTTTCCATACTGTAGCTTGTAAACTTAGCTCATGAAAGCTTTATACTTGCCAACCTTAACACACGTAACCACTTTTAGAATATAGTATATTCTATAACTAATGGTAAAACCTTTTTTATATTAATGTGTGTATATTTTTGTGTACTTGTGTGGTAGGTATTGCAATTATTATTGTTGTGGTTGTACCGTTATGAGAATTAGAGATTCGAAGTTATGTGCTATTCCGCAATTACACGACTAGCATGAAGCATATTCAAGAGTTAATACTGAAGCTCAGATTCAACTTAATCAGTCTGTGCTTAGCCAGCCCATCATCAGCATGTTTAGGTATGCTACTAATAACAGGGATGGAATTATTGGGAAAAAAGTGAAAACGCAGTTTTGTTTTTGTTGATTTGCTTCATTTATTTTGTAGTTTAAAGAACTGCCAGTTCACACTTCAGCTATTTTTGTTTGTTAGTTTGTTTCATCTCCGATGGGAGGCTAACCGATAGTGAGTAAGACAAAATTACCACCTCCTCCACCAGAGCATCACCTATCTTATTCTTTGCTCATCTTTAGGGAAACAGAACAATATTTCATAAGTATCACTAAACTTCCTGCCAATGGAAGTTTTGACATATCTCAGCTTTGACTTACTGTTTTAGGAAAAAGAAATGTTTAAAGCATTTATTTCTGTGCTCAAAGAACCTAGTGCAGATAGCCGTCCCACTGCTTTTGCATGCGTTACCCTATTTACTAAAAGTATGTTTGGAATGGAGACACTTACCTTGCTGCTGGAAAAGAAAGTCAGTTGTGAATAACAAGTCTAAAATCGGAAATTTAGTCATGGAATCATGCATAAATTCTGATAGAGATGCTGTCTCACGGGTAGTAGTCAAAAGATTTCTAGTTCTTTAAGGCAAAAAAGAGATGGAGGAAAAAAACACTATACCATGCATCTAAGCTCCTCAATCCACCAGTAAGTCTTGTCTGGAGGCCCCACTTCCCTCCTTTTTAATTTATAAAATAAACATGATAAAATTACCACTTCTACATAATTCACAGAATTGCATCTGTAAATAGCAAGTAAGAGAAGGTCTATAAAACCAATTGGATGAGGAGCTATCATTTTAAGATCATTCAGTGTAATTTTAATCTTGAAATGATTGCCTTGGCCATGGTTGCAGCCTTAGCAAATGTCAGGTTTAGAGAAGACCTACAGGTAGTGACAGCTATTTAGCACTGAAGAAAAAGGCAGGGCAGCACACACACGTCTTACAAGGATATCATGAGTCTTGTTGGGATTTCAGAGGCTAATGCAAGAGAATTAGGAGGGGATTATGGAGAAATGAAGCCCTCAGAGAACACCCCACATGAGGGCATCCGTGTCCCTCATCCCAATTCCCCATGAAAGATGCAGTTAAATTGCCTTTGGGGAATTTAGCTGGTTATGTTGAGCATAAAAGCAATGCCTAGCTTTTGTATTGCTTGTTGTTTCAATCTTCTAATTAATGTATAATTTACCAACATCAGGGACCACATTTTTAGTGTATATTTCTAAAGATTTGGTCAATTATGTATGGTTGTGTGACCACCACCAAAGTTAAGATATTATAGAACACTTCCATCACAAAAACAAAATCCTGGAAGTCTTCGTCATCAACCCCGTCTCCCACTTACTTCTACAGAAGACTAGTAAATGACTTCATATAATTGTTGTTCGTATAATTTTGTCTTTGCAAGAATGTCCTGACTCGAATCCTAGTAGACTCCATGTAGTCCTTACGTCTTGTTGCTTTCACTTACTGATGGTATGCATTTGAGATCCATCAGTATTGCTACTTTATCTGAGCGGAATCTCTTTTATTGCAGAGTAGAATTCCATCTGATGGAATTATCCACTCCTCAGTTGGAGGACATTGTGTTGGTTCCAGTGTTTGGTGACTGTGAACAAAGCTGATTTAAATATACTCCTAAAGATTTTTTGTGTAAACAGAGGTTTTTATTTCATCTGGGTAAATATGTGTGAGAAGGATGGCTTGATCGAATGGTAAATAGAAGTTTAATTGAAAAAGAAACTGAGAAGCTATTTTCCAAAGTTGTTCTCTTATTTTGTTCTCACTTGCAAGGCATTTAATTGCTTCATATCTTTCCCAGAATTTGGTATTTTAAAGTTTTAAATTTTATTTTATCTCTATTTCAATTTCATTTCTTATATTTTCACAAAGATGTCTCAAGAAGTCTCAGAAAAATATTTTTTCTCAAAATCATCTTTCGCCTCACCACCACACTTTAAGATTGACAATTTTCTTTCTTTAACCTAAGAAATAGATTAATTTTTTTTTCTTCCCCAACCACCTCTGTTTTCACACCCCCAAGGAGACTTCGCATACCTTGCTCAGGGAAGCAAGTATAGTGGTTACAAATTCTTTCTGCGTGGTCAGATGACTTGGCCTCAAATTCAGCTTATCTATTTAATCCCCTCAAACTTAAAATTCTTGTACATATGAGAGAGAAAATTGTATTTTGTCATCCTCAAAGACTGAGAATGTCAGATAACATATACACAATTTCTAGCACATATCATGCATTCCATAATACTATTTTATCATTTGAGGACATTGTTGTGATAGGGTTATAAAAATATTGCTCGAACATTCCATTTACCTTCCCATGTGACAGTCCCACAGTGGCTCAGCAGAGACATCTACTAGTTCTATTTAACAGACTGTGGGCAGAATGCATTTGTGCAATTTGGGTGGGCTGAAACACAAACACAGATTTCAGTTGTCTCTTCTCCTGCCATGGAGCTGAGGAGGTGGAATGTTTTAGCTGGTGCAGCGATCAGTGGTGAAGACTTCATTAACTTCTGTCTTTCAGTGATTACATGGAGGGGAAGGGTCCCCTCCTGTGTCATGGACATAGCTCCAATATCAATTACATCCTAGGTCACAAATCAAGCCTCAACAAAAATTTTAAAATATAAATTATACCTTGCAGACCACAGTGGGATAAAAGTAGGACTCAATTTAAGCAGAAACACTCATCCCCACACAAAGTGAGGGAAACTAAACAAGCTATTGCTGAGTGATCGCTGGGTCAAGAAGGAGATAAGGACAGAGATTAATAGATTCTTCAAAGAAAATGACGATGAGGCCAGAAGCTACCAAAAACACCTGGGGTACTGCAAAGTAGTCCTGAGAGAGATACTCATTGCCTTAAATGGCATACCCAGAGATCAGAGAGTGTACAGGTCAGCAATCTGTATACTTGGAAATAGTTGTGAGCGTAAATTTTATGTTACATCTATATTTTTTGCTACACACACAAAAAAATCCAATTTAACACAGAGGAAGTTGTGTTAAATGTAAATAAACTGGAAAGACTAGCCCCGCGCCACCTCCCGGCCGCCACCACAGTGGGAGCGCTCCCCTGCCCACTCCATCCCAGCGGCTGAGCCCAGGAGTCAAGTGGGAGTCCGCTGGCCAGGGCGGGCAGCGCCGGGACCCAGCGGAGGACACTGCAGCCGGAGCAGGGAGGGGCTGCGCCGCCACCGTCTGAACGAGGATGTCCCAACATGAAGGTGTCAGCTGTGATGCATGTTTAAAAAGAAATTTTCAAGGTCGCAGATATAAGTGTTTAATTCGCTATGATTACGATCTTTGTGCATCTTGTTATGAAAGTGGTGCAACAACAACAAGGCATACAACTGACCACCCAATGCAGTGCATATTAACAAGGGTAGATTTTGATTTGTACTATTGTGGGGAAGCTTTCTCTGTAGAGCAGCCACAGTCTTTTACTTGTCCCGATTGTGGAAAAATGGGCTATAGGGAGACATCTCTTCAAGAACATGTTACTTCTGAACATGCAGAAACATCAACAGAAGTGATTTGTCCAATACGTGCAGCATTACCTGGAGGCGATCCTAATCATGTCACAGATGACTTTGCAGCTCATCTTACACTTGAACACAGAGACCCTAGAGATTTAGATGAATCGAGTGGTGTTCCACACGTACCTAGAATGTTTCACCCTGGCCAGGGATTAGCAGGTCCTCGTGCTGGTAGATCAAACATGCACTTTACTAGCAATTCTACTGGTGGACTTTCTTCTTCTCAGAGTTCACATTCTCCAAGCAATAGGGAAGCCATGGATCCTATAGCTTTTATCTCAGTTGTCGGGAGTGAGACATTCTGCAGGAGGACAGCTTAATTCTTCTGGCCCTTCCGTTTCTCAGTTACAACAACTGCAGATGCAGCTGCAGCTAGAACGGCAGCACGCCCAGGCAGCACGGGCAACAACTGGAAACCGCACACAAGGCAACCTGGCGTACTGACACAAGCAGTGTCACCACTACAATCACACAATCCACAGCAACAACCAACACAGCTAATACAGAGAGCAGTCAGCAGACTCTCCAGAATTCCCAGTTTCTTTTAACAAGGTTGAGTGATCCTAAAATGTCTGAAACAGAGCACCAGTCCATGGAAAGTGAGCATGCAGCCTGCAGCCTGGTTGTCCAAGAGCTCCATCTGTCCATTTAGTGGGCCAAGAGAGCTCACCTCAGACAAGGATGAACTGGGGGGAGATGGCAGATTTTGGTGCTATGGGCTGTGTAGATATTATGCCTTTAGATGTTGCTTTAGAAAACCTAAATTTAAAAGAGAGTAATAAAGGAAATGACCACCACCTCCTCTTTGATGACATCCCAATATGCAGACACTGTCCTCTGTGCTGTATTTGCCAATGAAAGTGGACAACAAGTATCTTGAGTTTGTTTGGTGATTGTGATTTCAGGTCTGTCACTCTTGTTACATTGTGTACATTCAAAGAAAGAGAGAAAATATGTATGATAATCATTTGCACTTAACTGATTTTTACTTCTAGCAGGTAAATATAGGTAGCAGTGCAGGGGTGATCTCTGCTTTCTGTACCTTGACATGCAAAAGGCTCTCCTGATACTCCACGTTCAAACTGAAAAGGAAAATTGAAATCTCTAATGAAGCTGCTGTGTGTATTTATGAATATTAATGAATAAAAACTGCTTGGATGGTTTATCTTAAAAAAGAAAAACTAGAAAGACTGAAATAAATAGGCAAATCAAGACTCAAAAATGTGCTGCTTAAAAGGAGGCATACTTTAAATGTAAAGAACTGGAAATAAGAAAGTACAAAGGGCTTGGTACCTGTAGCTTAGCGGCTAGGGCGCCAGCCACATACACCGGAGCTGGTGGGTTCAAATCCAGCCCAGGCCTGACAAACAACAATGACAACTACAACAAAAAAAAAAAAAAAAATAGTTGTGGTGGGCGCCTGTACTCCTAGCTACTTGGGAGGCTGAGGCAAGAGAACAGCTTAAGCCCAGGAGTTGGATGTTGGTCTGAGCTGTGATGCCACGGCACTCTACCATGGGCAACATAATGAGACTCTGTCAAGAAAGGAAGGGAGGGAGGGAGGGAGGGAAAGGAAAGGAAGGAAGGAAGAGAAAGGAGGGAAGGAAGGAAGAAAGAAACAAAGAGGAAGGAAAGGAAGGAAGGGAAAAGAGAGGGAGGGAAGAAGAGAGGAAGGAAGAAAAGTACAAAGATGGAAAAATATATACTATGAATAAACTGGTATATTTTATGCTGATATCAGACTAGTCTTTGAGAAAACAGAATCATTAAAAATAAAGAGGAATGCTTCTTCTTCTTTACAATATACTCTTTAAAAAATTTCCAGATTATGGGGGTACAAATGTCTTAGTTACATGAATTACTTTTATCCAATTTAAGCCAAAGTTATAAGTGTGCCATCACCCAGACAGTGAGCATCATATGCTTCTTAGATACCTGGAAGAATCTCTTAGATATCTTCTTAGAATGGAAGAATCTCTTTTATTCTCATGGCTTTAAATACCATCTACATGGATAACTCCCGAATTTATATCCCCTTTCCAGGGCTGAACTTGTACTGGTGGTATCTAAGAGGCAGATAGCTCAAGCATCTTGTGCCCAAATGAAACCCATGCTCTCTCCCACCCCAAACCAGAGCCTTCCACAGCTCACAGAGCAGTCCTGTTATGCTTCTGGTTGCTTAGGTAACTAGGTTAGTGCTTTTTTTCTCACAGCTTCCAACACATCAGTGAATCACAGGGTAATCTCCACTTTTCAAACACAATAAAATAGCCGATTTGGAGGCTGTGTTGTTCATAAAATATTACATATACAATGTTACATATGATTTGGAGGAAGCAGAGAATAAGTAATAGAGCAAATGCATCATTTTACAGATTTATTTAAATTCTACGAAAACAGAGTAAGAGATTACTTAGAATAGCAATTTACATGCGGTGGTCAAGAAAGGGTTTTGAAAGAAACAATGCAGGTTTAGACAAAAGGTTCTGGAGGGGGAAAAACGAGCCGGAGACTCAGTTGGGGGTATAAATCTAGCAGTTCAGGTTCAGGTAAAAATTGGGTGGCAGACTACTGGATTCCCCCCAAACCTGCTCTCTTTTTCTTACAGCGTGTTGGTATTTCAGATAAGTACATGTTCATTGAGCTGGAGATTAAACGTCAAGTGTCTTTGCAGCTCACAGTGGCTGTTGACTGAGTTTCTGCCAATGGAGTGTGCTCAGATGGGAAGTGTGCAGCTGCTACATCACTTTCCAGATGAGAGTTTAGTTTTCCTCCATCTCTTCTCTTTCTCTCTCCCTCCAGGTAGAACAGTTGTGAAGAGGACAGCCTACACTCCAGAAGGTGGTAGAAAGAGACAATGCGAAAGGAACCCGGATCCCAGAATGACCGAAGCACCACGGCAGTTAGTTCATTTTTACACCACCTGCTATTTGAGAAAAAAAAGTCTATTTTATTTATGCCACTACATATGGCTTTCTTTGTTACAGCATGTTAACCTCGTTTCAGTTTCTTTGCCGCACCTTTCCTCAACATGTATAATCTCTTCCTTTAAACCTGAATCTAGGTCAGCTTTTCTCTGACCTAGACATCGACCATTACAATAGCTAGAAAAAAGGCTATGTGAGCTGGGGAATCCTTGCAGTTTTACTTTCACACTGGCCTGAAAATGTCATGTAGGAAAACTGGTCCAGCCTCTGGATGTTGAAAGAGCAAAGGTGACTGGAGAGTAGGCAGCATCAACATCCGGGAATGTGAACAAGGCCCTCGCAGACTGTCCAGCCCAGAGGACCTTCTGACCTCATGAGTGAGCCTGAGGGAAATCAGCAAAGGACACGCCCTACCCATAGAGTTATAAAAAATAATAAACCATTGTTTTAAGCCACCGCATTTGGGGGTAGGTTGTTATACAACAATAGATAGCTAAGTACACAGTTTGTCTAATCTCTCTCATTAAAATTATATGCTGAACAAGATCTTCAACTTCTCAATGGCTTTTTTGAAAGCATTATTAACCTCTTTATTCCTTAGACTGTAGACCATTGGGTTCAACATGGGAATTACTATTGTATAAAACACAGATGCCATTTGGTCATTGTCCATAGAATGACTAGAACTGGGTTGTAGGTACATGAAGATTACAGTTCCATAGAATATGGTGACGGCAGTGAAGTGAGAAGCACAGGTGGAGAAGGCTTTCGTCCGTCCTTCTGCTGAACGCATCCTCAGGATGGCAATGAATATAAACACGTAGGAAGTCAAGATAACTATGAGGGCAAAACACACATTGAAAGATGCTAAGATAAAGAGCACAATTTCATTCATGTGGATGTCAGAGCAGGAAAGAGCCAGCATTGGGGGGATATCACAAAAAAAGTGATGGACCACATTCGAACGGCAGAATGAGAGGCAGAAGGTGAACCCAGTGTGGACGGCTGATTCAATAAAGCCCCAGAGGTAGCAGCCTATCACCATCTGAGTGCACACACTGGCTGTCATGGTGGTGGTGTAACATAAGGGCTTACACACTGCCGCATGACGGTCATAGGCCATGACGGCAAGGAGGAAACAGTCAACACTGGCAAAAGCCACAAAGAAGAACATTTGAGCAACACATCCCCCATAGGAAATAATCTTCTCCCCTGTGAGAAGCCCAGCCATCACTTTGGGAGTAACAGCAGAGGAGTAAACACAGTCAGCCAAAGAGAGATTACTAAGGAAAAAGTACATCGGAGTGTGGAGATGACAGTCCAGCAGAATCAACGTGATCATCCCTAGGTTTCCAATGAGGGTGATGAAATAAATAAGCGTGAACATTATGAAGAGGGGGACTTGCAGCTCTGGAATATCAGTCAGCCCCAAGAGTCTAAACTCGTTCACCTCGGTGCTATTTTCCATGGATGCCCGTTTGAAATTGTGTTTTATCTGCTAAAACAAGGGAAGCTGGATAAATTATGCACGGGAAATGGCTCATGGCACACTCATGTCACCCAAACAACATAAGCACACCATGATCCTATTGGTAATGCAGGGGTCCCCATAACCTTGAGGCTGGCATCTTCTGATCTCCACCTTCCAATCTGTAGTAGTGTGTCCTGCATTTGTTAGTTCCTGGCCCTACTCAGATATTCCAAATGACTCCTTGATTATCTTCAAAATACGTATTGCTTATTTTCATTTGCGTTGAAACTTTGTGCTTTCTTTTGTAAATTACTCTTACTGTTATTATTGTAATTCCTGAATCAGGTGGCACTTATGTGAACTGAACACTTACTATATGCCAGGTAGTCTGAGAAGAGTAAATCTGATCTGATTCACACTTTCCCCTTCTGTCCTATTATGTAATTATCTGATAACAATAATATTCCATGGCTTGGTGCCCATAGTACAGAGGTTATGGCACCAGCCATGTACACGGAAGCTGGAGGGTTTGAGCCCAGCCCTGGGCCTGCTAAACAACAATGACAACTGCAACAAAAAATAGCTGGGCATTGTGGTAGGCACCTGTAGTCCCAGCTACTTGGGAGGCTGAGGCAAGAGAATCGCTCAAGCCCAGGAGTTTGAGTTTGCTTTGAGCTGTGATGCCACGGCACCCTACCCAGGGCAGCAGCTTGAGACTCTGTCTCAAAACAAAAATAAAAACAAACAAGAACAACAAAACCCCCAATAATATTCCACTGTCCTTCTGGATGTGAAATACTGTGAGGTCTGAGATTATCACCCGTGCAGCTGTGATTCATCTGAGGTCTAAGAAAGAAAAGTTGCATTTTCACTTCTCTGAGAAAATTTTCCTCCTTACAAAACATGCTGAAAAAGGAGAAATAAAAGCTCAAAACGATGACCAACCACTACACTGTTCCTTCTTTCATTCTCTTGAGGGAAGCAGCATGAAAAGGAGGAAGACGATCATCTTCGCTTAATCCCCTGAGACAAGCAACATAAATATCCCTGAACTTTCATTTCCTCCTCTGAAAAAATTAAGTGAGCATTGTGTTTCCTACTTTCACTACATCACGAGATTCTGACAGCAGTTTGGAAAAGGTGCTTTAAAAACCAGAAGTGTTGAGAGAGGCACTGTGTTGTGGTGATAAAGAGCATGTTCTCTGGTCTCGTCATGTTGATATTCAAATTCCAGCATTTCCACTTACTCGTTGGGTAACCTCAGGCAAGTCACAACCTGGCTGAGCCTCAGTTTAAAACAGGGAGAATGCTAATTGTAGATAATTGGAGAATGTAATGAATTAATATGTTTAAATCACTCAGAACACTGCCTAATACATAGAGCTCAATACATTGTAGGTATCAATATTATTAAATAAATATCATTATGAATAATCATGGGACTATATATAATGGTTGGGGAAAAACAAAAGAAACAAAGTTATTGGAACTACGTCACTAAAGAAGCTTATGTGATCTCATAAATTAAATTCAAATTTGTTTAAACAAGTATGTTATTTTTACAGATATTAACAACAAAAAATTGAGGGCTGAGCTTTAGGAATAATAACAGATATGAATTTTGAGATGATGTCTTTCATTACACGATTTCTGTGAGGAATTTACTGAGAGTTGTACCAGTTATTTCACCCAACTGTATAATCTCTTTATGAAATATCCTCCTCAATTTTCAAAATCCATGCTACATATCTGGTCCATCCTGATAAAGTCTTTAAAAAAATAATCCCTTAATACCAGAATTATTCAGCTCTGGCTCTCTTTCCCTTACATTTCACATGTAATACCAAAGCATATACTGATAACTCTACCTTCAAAATATACCCCAAATCTATCCCTGATCACTACCTACCTACAGGGTAACTGCTCCAGGCCAGGACAATTCTTTGGTCACACCTGGTAAGAACTGAGGTCCAAAACTGAGTCACTGAAAAAGTTAAGAAAAGGAAAATTGAGGCAGGGTGCTGATTTGGGAGCTGAGAGAGGGTGGAGGTTAGGGAGTATGTAGAATACTGAAGTTCTGTCTTTTTAGTAGCTAACAAATGCATGCCAGGGACCGTCTTTTTAACTCTTACAGTATCAGCAACGTAATGGCAGCCACATTGCCCTTCCTGCCAGGCGCTGTGTCCTAGGCTGTGTAGATCCAGACCCCAGTCTGAATCCAAGCCTAAATGTACACACAATAAATTGTGCTGCCTTAAATTTTGTTTCAGTATACTGGCATATAGCTGAGCACATAGCAGACAATAACTGAGGAGGCAGAATGATTAAATCGTTCCATATTTGTAAGGCTACCTGTCGTAGCAAAAAGTGCCTGCATTTTGGGGTCAAACCCCTGGGTTTGGATATCACTTTCTTCACTTAGTAGTTTGAAAATGATTTCTAAACTCTTTAAATGTAATTATTACCCCTCTGCAAAATGGAGACAGTACCTACTTCATAGTTATTAGAGAAACCTTATTGTAATTATCTCTGAGCACCCATTCCCACTAGATGGAAACTTGGAAAAGCCTTAGTTGATTTAGCTTCGTATCCATGTACCCAGCACAGTCCACAGCACACATCATACCATCAATAATTTCTCACTGGGTGACTGAACGAGTGAAGAAATAGTTGTTATTCTTGCAGCCTGTAAAAAGAAGTTCCTACTGAGAGATTAAGCAGCATGTTCAATAGAAATTTCTCTGAAACAAAATGAAGAATCTATCTAAAGGGAACAGAAGTCACATACATTTTATTGATATTTTCATAAGACTTATTTATTAATATAATTTTATTTAATATATTTTACAATGTGTTCAATATACTTAATGTTAAGAGCTTTCTTAAAATTCTCTTGAGGATATACTCAGTGAAAAATACTTAAAGAGCAATATATTTATTTGTATTTATTGAAATACAGTCAAGAGGAATATTCCATGAAATGCCTTTTTATCAATGTAAAATAAATTATATTTATTATTATTTGTACATATAATTAATTGTATTAATTTAATACAACTTACTGTGTTCATCAAATCTCCAACACATAAATCATTCATAAGTGTGTTTTAGGTTAACTGAGTTTTTGAGAATTAATTTGCCACAGACTGTGCTAAGCCAGTATTTTACAAATGGCAGGTCATGATCCATTCATGGGTGAGGAAATCAAACAGTGGATCAGGGCTAGCATTTTTTTCAAAAATGAAACAACATTAAAAATCACTGCTGTTACTAGTAATGACCTCTAACATAGAAAGCCCTTCCTATGTGCAGATGCTCTTCCAAGGGTTTTGCACACACTAGCTCATTTAATGTAGGAACGAATAGAAAGCAAAGGGGCATGGCCTGCAAAAGGGCAAGTGGGGTCCATGACAGTTTTGTTTTTGCTCTGTGTGTGTGTGTGTG